ATATATTATATTTAACTCGACTGAATTGTGTCTAACAAGAGAATGACACCTTGGCACCCCGCTCTCTGATACATCATTGCAAAAAAAAATTAGAAAAGAAAAAACAAAATCCATTGCCAGAAGAGAACTAATTTATTAACCTCTTGAAATCAATTTAGTCAAACAATAATTAGTTTCTCCCGAAAGGTCTCTTCCAAAATATAATATCCTTACTTTCCAATGAAAAACTTGTTAATTGAAATCCAAAAAAATGGTACATAAATAATCGATACTCCAAAATCCGGACTTTAATCTGATTTGCCCCTCCGTACAAGAGGACAATTCTAACTGCCCCTCACAAATCTGGAATTGCCGATTTTGTCCTTTATTAAAACAAAAAAAAAATTGAAAAAGAAAAAGAAAAAGCAGCAGCGGTTTGGTAGGAAATTAATTGAAACCAATCCTACAATTTAATCCTCTAAACCAACCAAACCAACCAAAATTTAATTTTATTGCTCCTCTTGTCGTCTTCTTCCTCTCACGTCGTCTTCTTCCTCTCATGTTTCCACCATTGACAAAATCGGAGGCGTGAAATTGAAGGTTAGTTGTTGCTGTTTCTTATACTATTTTCGATTTCTTGATTGAATTATCAAGCTTATGTCATAGGCAAAGCAATTAATACATAGTTAATTAGAGAATTTTATAGTAAAGAAAATTTTGATTTTTTTTTGCTCATTGGAGCTGCTGAGCTAGTTGGGTAAGGCTATTAGAAACTGATATTGTTAATTAAATATGATATCTTGGTTAACTGAGCAATGAATCGTAATAACTAGTGATGATTCGTATGATGAACCAAACTTTCTGGGTACTACTGGGTACAACTAGAACAACTGGACATATTAGTACGAGTAGGATCAACCAAACTTTTTGGGTACAACTAGCATAACTGGACATATTAAGTGAATTTAGTACGACTAGGATTAACCAAACTTTCTAGGTACTACTGGGTACAACTAGCACAACTGGACATATTAAGTGAATTAGTACGAGTAGGATGAACCAAACTTTCTGGGTACTACTGGTACAACTAGCGTAACTGGACATCTTAAGTACGACTAGGAAAACTGGTGTAACTATGATAAGATTACCATACGATTATTTTGTTCTTTTTAGGGAAAATGAGTAAGAGTGGTTGCACAGTCATATGTTTTAATTATGGGAGATTCTATTCAAAAGACGGTGATAAAATTATATAGAATTCTAGAGAAGATGAGATTCACACTTTAGTGATGAGGAAATCTTAGGAGGATGTCACTTATGTTCGATTAGTGGAGGGAATTTGCAGAAACGTTTTGACAGATGCAGCTACATCTCTGCTGAAAATTAGTTACTATCCATTAATATGTCTGGTACGACTGGTGCGACTAGTACCACTCGTTTTAAGTACAACTAGTTCAACTACATTTTAGTTGTATTCAAGTCCAACTGGGAAAACTAGTACGACTATGCTTTCAACAAAAATGCCAATAACACAATTTCTAAACGTATTTGTAAACATATTTCCATATAAAGCAGGCCATAGAACATGTGCAAACATATTTGAACTTTTCATAATTAAATAAATTTGATCCATGAAAATGTTTGATCTATAAAAATGTGATGTCTACCCTTATACTTTTAAGGTTACTTTGAAAATCTTAACCTCACAAATATGAAAACCATATAAGTTTGTATTTTTATACAAGTTATAGCATTAGAATATGTTAAATGTAGTTTATTTACTAAATTTCACAAGTGCAACTAAAAAAAATTAATTTAGGGTATGGTACTAATGATTTGAGGACAAACCCGCTAAACCACAAACCCGAAACCCATGACGGGTTAGTCCGCTAGACCTGCTAATTAACAGATTATAAAAAAATGTCCAAACCCGCCCCATGATAGATTTTAACGAGTCGAACCCGCAGATTATGAGCCTGTTTGATATTCCTAGTGATGATTAGTGGTAAAATCCAAGGCGAGGCAGCTGCATGACTAGGATTTTTGCATTTTTTGGGCTGAGTATTTAAAGATTTAAGATGAAAATTTCAATTCTCTACTTTACTTTTTATAATTAAATCATGAGAAATCCATAAAGTCTTTTTTGTTAGACTTTGAATTTGTGAATTTTTCTTTTCTCTAATAGGTATGGATCCAGGGTGTTACAACTATATTTTCTATTTGGGGGATATTTTAAGAAATGCAAAAGATAAAGAGTACATGTTCTTCAAAGTGGTCAAACCTCACGTCACAGGTGTGTCCTATGGGGGAATGAATAGCGTCATCTTGAGTCCAACTAGCGTAACTGGACATCTTAAGTACGACTAGGAAAACTGGTATAACTATGATAAGATTACCACTCGTTTTAAGTACAACTAGTTCAACTACATTTTAGTTGTATTCAAGTCCAACTGGAAAAACTAGTACGATTATGTTTTCAACAAAAATGCCAATAACACAATTTCTAAACGTATTTGTAAACATATTTCCATATAAAGCAGGCCATAGAACATGTGCAAACATATTTGAACTTTTCATAGTTAAATAAATTTGATCCATGAAAATATTTAATCTATAAAAATGTGATGTCTACCCTTATACTTTTAAGGTTACTTTGAAAATCTTAACCTCACAAATATGAAAACCATATAAGTTTGTATTTTTATACAAGTTATAGCATTAGAATATGTTAAATGTAGTTTATTTACTAAATTTCACAAGTGCAACTAAAAAAAATTAATTTAGGGTATGGTACTAATGATTACAAAATTTTACCATCAAAATATAATTTTATGTATATAGGGTACAACTAAAAACTGGGTACGACTATGTTATAAAAGTTTGGATTCAATTTTTGTTTTGACGGCGCAAGTAGTCATTTTTTATTAATTTCCTCTTTTGTCGACGCACGTGACTTCATATTTTATCCATTTTAAACATCCTGCCACATGTTTTCTAAATTCAGTTCTAGTTGGTCTAATTCTGCTAGTTGTACATTTTAATTCAACACATAAAAAAGACTTGCATAAAATATATATGTCCAAATCCTGAAAAACACAAAGAAAAATTCTAACATAGCACACAACATAAGTTCAAAGGCCTAAGTTCATACATAATAACAAAAGGGTCATTCACCAAACGTGAACGATTCAACTTCCTTTTTGGCCTTGGAGTCTTACTCCCTTAAGCTTCTTAATCAATTTCTTTGCTGCTTCGGCTTGAAGACTAGGTTGTTTGTTGATTTTCACCTTTGTAGGTGTTCAGACTGTATCCACATCGTCTCCACCTAACAAAAATAAATCAAAATCGATGAAACTCATTATATCGAAAATAAACCAAAATCGCTGACCTAGTTATACTATTCATAAGATTTGAACCCAATTCCATCTTAGACTCGACATTTTATGCAATCTAAAATGATCGTACTACTTGTTCTAGTTGACCTAGTTAGACTAGTTGAACTAATTAGACTAGTTAGATTAACCGTTCTAGTTGAACTAGTTAAACTACTCATACTAGTCAGACTAGTTGGACAAAGTTATATTAGCCATTGTACAACAAAATTTAGGGTTTACCGGTGGTGGTTGCGACGACGAACCGGTTGCCGGTTCTGGAATCGGAGGAAGGCCGGTTGCCGGTTGCACCGTCGGAGCCACAATAGTTCCTTCTTCTCGTTCAGTCACCGGAGGCGGACTTTCTTCTGCTGGTTCAGTCACCGGAGCCACCGGAGGCGGAACACTGGACTTTGATTTCTTTTGCGACTTCTTCTCTTTTCCTTGCGGTGCCTCCGGACGCTTCTCCCCCTTTCTTTTCTTCTTCGCCGACGGATTTGAACTCGACGGCAGCGGATTTTCTTCTTCTCGTTCAGTCACCGAATCCGCTGGAGGTGGAGGCGGAGCATTGGAAGTTCCGTCGTTTGATTTTGATTTCTTCCGTGATTTCTTCTGCGGTGCCGCCGGACACTTCTCCGCCGCTGTTTTCTTCTTCGCCGGCGGATTTGAACTCCACGACGGCGGTGATAAAGTATGATCCGGTGAAGATGTTCTCAACCGAACTCCTCTCCTACGCGGCGACATAATCGAAAAATTAGAGTCGACGGATGGTGGTTTCTCGGAGGTGCGATGTCGGTGACGAGTGTTTGATCGGTTTGTGTTTTGATTGTGGTGGAGAAAGAGACCGCTTTGATCGTGATGGTGGAGAAGATGAAAAATTAGCTTTGATCGAAAATTAGAGATTTAATAAAAAAAAAAGTTGTTTTTAGATTCTGTTTGGGTCGGAGTTTGGATTTGGGTTTGGGCCTGATTTAAATTTAAATTTGGGTCAAAATCTAATTAATTACTATTAGGTTGGTTTGTAATTTAAAGGATTTATCATATGTTTTGTCGTCTTTTCACACGTTTTCATTTAAAATGTAAATGAAAAATAAAATAAATTTTAGAAGAGGGGCGTTTAAGATTTTGTTGGCGAAAGGAGGGGCATTTGAGATCAGAATCCCCAAAATCTAGAGAGTGATGAAAGAGGAGAAGATGACAAGCAGAGATGGATCGATCCCCCGATGACACCATAATGCTCGGAGTCGGAGCATAATCTGGTCGAAAGATTCGTTCTTTCTCTGATATGAATGTCAACATCTGGGTTTTGTCCGTTCCTCGCTCTTCTACAACTCACGGGATTGTTATTTTCGTTAAAATTTTTCTACAATTGGGTGATTAGTTTTTGATAAAATCCTTATATCTAAGAATTGTGTACCCCTGTTTAGTCTCGCTCGCTCGATTCCGTAATTCCTTAAGATCTAGATTGAAATTTGCAGGAAGGATATTGGGTTTTAGAAGAGCGGAGTTGCAGAAAAACTGTCCAAGGAAAGTATTTGATCTCCGATGATGAAGGTCTGAAATTTCCCCTCCCATTCACTCTTTAAAGATTAACTTTCACAGAATTTAATCTATTTGGACAAGATATTTAGCGAGAAAGACTAATAAAACATGAATGGTTGTTGTTTCAGGCAATGTTTGTGATGTTTTGTCATTGGATTCTCGAACACGTTGTTGCCGATGGAAAGGAGAATTATTCCCTTGTCAGTGAGTCATTTTTTAGAAGATCATAGTCTTTAATCGGTTTTTAAGACTAATGTGTTCTTAATCAGACCTCATTTTATGTGGTTTGGCTTGAAGTAGATGCAACCTCCTTTTCACCAATGCTGCAGCTCTTATGAACTTTGCTTTTGTTCTGCTTGAATCCTAGCCGGGTATTCTATGGAACCTTTGGTTTTATTTTCAGATTATTCACTGCTCTTGCTTCATCATTCTTTTGCTCATGAGTATCTTCCGCAGACGCTTCTCCAGAAAGTGGTTAAGGTAAACGTTTCAAAGCTGGCTACAGCACGTGACTAGTAGTGTTGCAGCAGCTTCGATTATAGATGTATTTGCATTTGCAAGATCACCAAATTTTCCTCCTTAGCAGGGACATACAAATCTGTATTTGATTTTGCCTGGAGCTACCGCCATAATTCTGAGAGTGTGGTAAGCTAATAACTTTTTCTTTCTGTTTAAAAGGTCTTTTTGTTCTTTTACTGGAGGTTATTTTGTGAAGTGTAGCAATTTAGTGTGGAAGCGAGGTTTTTATCTGAAAATGATGAAATGCTTATGAAATGTAACGGTTTTGTCCTGAAACTTACAGGTTCATGAAACTGCACACCACAGCAAGTTTCACCAATCACCATTGTTTTTCTCTGACATCGAATGCTTCAGGTTAGCTTTGATAGCCTATGTTTTCTTCCAACTATCGTTTATATATTTTTTTTTTTAGACATATCTATCGTTTATATGTCAAAATACCTTTTACCATTCATTAAATAACTGAAATAGGGGCTAATCTTACACAAGTTGAAACAAGACTCCTTGGCATTGACGTTACTGTCAGAAGGTAAAACACACTCACTTCTCTACCAGGATGAATTTGTCTAGCGAATATCATATTCCTAGACTCGATTTATTGAATTGGTTTCATAGGGAAGGAGATTCATACGATGCAGTTTGCAAGTCACATGGACAATTGTGTGTGGTAAATAAACTATCACTTCTAAACCAATATGTGACGTGTAGGTTACCAGAGTCATATGGGACACTGCAAAGGGATGCACCTCCGGTCCAGCTTTTACCTCACAATCCCGAACCACCAGCTACAACCACGGCTACTGGTGATGCTACCGCTTTTCCTGAGCAACCTAAGCAGCACAATGTCGGTTTAGTTCAGGCTGCTAAGCAGGTTATTCCTTTTCTCTACAGTTTTGTTTCAAGTGAATACATGGGAAAGAGGGTTTATGGTCTAGAGTCTTGAAAAACCCAGCATGTTTTTGCTATATATGCACCATAAAGCTATTATAATTTGATATCTTGATCATCGTCAAGTTCAGAATTTCTAACATGAAGTGAGCATTTTAAATCCCTTTTCTTTAATGAGATATTTGGATCATGTCTTGGTCCCAGAAATTGCTAATGAAAGAGTGCAAAATCACTTCAAGTTTATACTGATCTGACTTTTTCGTCATTCTCCCATTTTGAGTCTTGATGGGGTTTTTTTTTTTGGTTGCAGCACTTCCATTGTCAGAAGGAGGTGAAGAAGCTGAATTAAAAAGAATCGCACAACTCCAGGCAACAAATTATTTGATACTTTTGGGTTTTTTGTTTTTATGAATACTCTGATTTTTTCCAACCGGGTTTTATTTATGGGATATTAATCTTCTATCTATTTTATAGATTGTCTTTTAGAAGTGGAGTACACCAAAGATATTGGGACTGGTCACACAAAATGATGTGTATCACTGGTCAATTGAAGGTTGTATGTCTTTAGCTTACTGTCATTTTCTTCTTTTTCATGTATATATGACTCTAAATTTGCTTCGATATAAATTTCCTTTTGACTCAAATTACAAACTACAAGTGCTCTCTTAATGAGAAGTGTCTGGTTTTAATTGGAGTTTCTCGTGGATCTCCTTAGGTTTTAAAGAAGATAGATAGAATATTTTAAATTGTTGAAATGGAAGAGGTAGTCAAATCTGGTCAGGCAGGAACCCAGTATGAGATAAAGGTTAAGAGCAAACTTGCAAGTAAGAGAAATAAAAAGGGATTAGAAGATATGGTTTTTTCCTTTTCATGGTAAGTGTATAGAGTTATTTGTAATGTTTATTAAATTATAGATGAGCTCCAAAATAAGTGTTGAGTCATGTATTATGTGAATGATCATGGATTTGAATTAAATCTATATACATTTATGTCTGTTTGACCAATTTGTTTTTTAAAAACCATATCCATGTCCGTAAAGAGGAATTGCAGATTTATATATTTGTTACAATGCACTTTAGACATAGCAAACAGAGGTATTTGTTACATTTCTTTAGCAAACTCGGAAAACGAAAACTGGGAAATTGGGTTTGCTCTTTCCAGAGAGTTGATGTTTGGTAGATTTTGAAGAAGTAATACATATTCTTCTTGGTAATACTTATGGTTATGTTTCGTATTCTGGTTTAGCTATTACACTTTTTAGTGAGTAAACAAAGATGATAATCTTCTGAAACAAGACTATGCTTTGTCAAAAAGAAAGTTACTCCACAGTTAGAAGTTTTATCAATTTGATCAAGTAAGACTAAACAGAGAAAATAGATGTATAGATGTAAGTCGTTAACAAACAATAAAGAAAATACAAATGTATAATTAAAAGAAAAATATTATATGACAAAATCTGCGCATTTGTGCAGGTAATCACCAAGTAATTATAAAGAATGATCACTACTAATGACAATAAGTTAATTTGAACAGTCGTTCCCTAATCCCCTACAGTAATTGTTCAATATACTTGACGTGATCACACCTCAAATACACAAACGGCCAAGGCAATGCTCGTACCGCGACATCATCAATATTGACTTGTATTTGTTGTTGAACCAGAAAATCACCACTAGGGTTTGTGATTAACGGTTGTGGGTTTTGGATAATAAAATCTTTTATTAATAGCTTTAAAGATGAAGCGATTAAAAGAGATGGCTTAACCGAGAGGTTTGTCGAAGTGAAAGAAAAGAGTTTATGCAATAAATTAAAAGCTTGAAGTTCTTAGATTTAGCTCTGCTGCTCTCTAGATTGTATGAGTTGTCCTCCTTGTGCCTGGGGTCGTTTTATTTATAGGAATAGGAGGTCGGTTGCTCCGAGCTCCTTTTCCTTTTCTCCTTTAGTGAATATTTCCATATTCGAGATATGGAAATATCCCTTATTCTCTGAAGAATATATAAATTCTCCTTTATCCTTGAATATTCCATCGAGCTGATCCGATGTTCTTGGAATTGAAGAATATCTTCAAGTTATTTCCTTCTTGAGCTACGTCGGCGCGGTCTGTAGAACTTTATGGGCTTAGGTTATTGCTAGAGAAAGCCTTTTAGGAAATATGCTCATTTCTCCTCTAACAATAAGCCCCCCCCCCTCCCCCCCCCCCCCCCCCCTACCCACCCCAGTTCGGCGAGATTTATTGTAAATCAGCTCGGCGGACTTCATGAAGTAAATGGGTTTGATCTCGCAATAAGCGTCAGCTCGTCAAGAGCGTTTCTCCGCGATGGCCAGCTCGGCCCGTCCTCGAGTGGGTCTGACACGTAGCACTTCCCTTAGATTAAAATGATTTAAATATGCAGCACATTAGGATTTTGCTTCCAGCGGAAAATGCGAAAGGTTTATCAGACGGCGAGATTATGCGAATCTTGACACGCGTCCTTTAAAGAAACTATTGATATTTCTTCCAATTTTTATTACTGAAAATTTATCTCTTCGTCTTCTTGCTCCAATGATTTTTATTTTCTTCAGATCGCTTTGCAAAGATCATTATGTGATAGTTTCCTTTGCTCGCCGGTCTTCCTTTTTCTTCTGATTGCTACAGAATTTTTTTTTTCTTCTTCTTCTAAACGAAATGTCGACGGATCGCATGCTTCGAAAGGTAAAGGGGCAGCTTTCGATGATGATGACATTTCTCTTGCCGAGCATGCTAGACGAGTGTAGATTAGTTCGGTTCCTTCTTCTCCCTTGAATTCAGAGCCTCTGAGATGTCAATTTGGGCCAAAGCCCAAAGCCCAGCCCGGCCCGGCCCTGAAAAATACCGGGTTTGGGCTTTGATATAAAAGCCCAAAAAAGTCGGGCTTTTTGGGCAAAACCCATTCGTGCTAAGCCCATTTGGGCTTAAGCCCGATCGGTCTCGTGCTTACCCGAAAAGTCTTGTACTTTATATTATAATTTTATTTAGAAATTTTTATTAATAAATTATCTTCACAATTTTAAAAATTTAGAGTTATTAGTTTTAAGAAATTAGAGTTATTAATTTTAAAAAATTAGAGTTATTAATTTTTTATAATACTCTTTATTAATATAAAATCTTAATTTTTAGTTGTGTGCCTTCATATAACATCAATGCTCAAACTAAACTAGTTTCTAGAAGCACTCCTACTTACATCCCGAAGATTCTCATCTCCATTCTGCCGTTTCTACTATTTACATAACTTATTTATTTAATTATATTTGATGTTAGAATTTATATGAATTTATAAGTTAAAGTTTTGCTTTCAGATTTGATAAAACTATATTTATGATTATTTTTAAAATTTATTTTATTTAATTAAAAAGCCCGAAAAATCCCAAAAAAGCTCGATACCCCTGTTAGGGCCGGGCCGGGCTTCAAAATATAGGCCCGATATATTATCGGGCCGGGCCGGGCTAGGCTTAAATATTTGCGGGCTTTATGGGTTTCGGGCCGGGATGGGCCGGGCCAGCCCGTTTGACATACCTATTCAGAGGGGTCTTAAAATTACCGAGATGTAATTTCGCACGAATAATTTCGATATAGATTCTGAGATGGAATCAGAGGGTTCCGAGCCAGCGAGCTGGATTGAAGGTCTTCCGCAGAGAATAACGAAGCCGAAGCATAAAACCGGCATCAAGGATGGGAGGACCTGGATGACTACGGATAAGCTTCAGGAGCTTCGATCAAGATGCTGCTTTCCTGAAGAAGTCAAAATTTTACTTCCTCAAGTTCACGAAAGAGTAACGACGCCACAGTAGGGTTACTTCTGCATTTACGAATGTCATTTTGCAGACTTTGGACATCAATTTCCTATTTTATCGCTCATCCGTTACTGCAAACGGAGGATGATGCCAATGGCGCAACTTTCTCACGCCGTAATCCGCCATTTCAACAGTTTAATGGCAGTTGCTCGAATAGCGAAGGTCCCTTTCAATTGAGATTTTTTTGAAAGAATATCAATTCTGAAGAGCGGGAGGCTGAATCGCGGGGGATGGCACCACTTTTACACCACTCTGAAGCACAGTATCATTGGTGGGTACCCAACAAGTAAAGTTCACAAGTGAGACCACTTCTTCTTCTGTGTGAAGGTTAATGAAGCTTCTACCGGCAGCTCCGGGCTTGAATTATTTAGAGCCTGGAAGTCGAAACCTGGTAGGCCAAACTGGAATTTGTTATTTGCTTTCTCTTTTTTTTTAGCTAATTTCGAGATATTGATATGTTTTCTCCTCCGTTTGTTTTGGCAGTATCGATCAGCCTCGGGAAAGATCCCTTCGGCCTGGATATGGATATTAAAAAGCTTTGCTATGTGAGCCAGAGGTTATGGCCTGCAAAGGAGAAGAGTAATCCTGCTGAGAAGAAAGCGAGGGTTGCAAAGCCAATGGAGAAGAAGACCAAGGCTTCGAAAACAGGTGCATTACCGAACCGAAATAATGCCATGCTTGCTCTTCTGAGTGTAATGTTATTTTATTGTGTGTTCTGACGTTTCAGCTGCCAAGAGAGCATCACAACCAAGACGTGTGGGGACAGGTCTTAAGAAAAGAAGAACAATCCCGGTGGTGGAGGTTGATATCCCTGCGAATACTTCCTCCAAGCGGAAGAGGGGAACTATGAAGGTCCTGCGAACGAAGTTGCAAGGTATTGGTCTATTCTTGATTGTATCATTTTTTGGCTAGCCGACGTGAGTCCTGACGCTTTTATTGCTGTTTTTAGCTTCTCCAGGGTTGCAGCAAGGGAAAGACGGAAGCGAGATGTAGCTGAAAAAGCTGCAGGGGCCTCACAGGATGAATCGGTTTGGGAAACTGATTCACGAGCCGAGGATCAGGGAGTCGAGGGTTCCCATGATGCAGATATGGCTTGTCAAGAGGCTACCCTTCTGCCTGAGGGATCTGCTCCTCTGCAGGATGCCGGTGCTCAAGACACCGAAGATGCGAACTGGTATGAGACCGGAGGTGCTGCACCGGATGCTTTTATAAGCCTAAGCGCGAGGAGGAATTCTTTGATTGCGATCCTCATCACTTCAGTTTAAAGTGGTATGGTGCTACTTCGGCGATGCTCAAATGTGAATTTGCCGCAAAGCTGATCTGGAAGTGCAAGAAGAATCCAAAGTAGGGTACTCCTCTGCGGGAGAAGAAGCTGGCGGAATCGATTACTTCGGCGAATCATCTGAGTGGCCAGGTATTTTATATGAGATTTCTCAGTTATTTTGTTCGGACGCGTGTTCTAAAAATGGATTGTTGTGCAGGGACTAGGAGCGTAAATGTTTGCGTTTCAGACATATGCCAAAGATGTTCGCGAAAAGG